GCTATTCCAATGGATAAAATGAGAAGGTGGTTTAGTTTGGTGGATTTTGGAGCTGGTTGAATATAGCTATTTGTGCTTCACAGTGGTGCTTTTGTGGAGTATTCCAAGGATTTGTGCTTGGTGCTGTGCTATTTAACACCGTTTAACGTAATGGATAGAGAAGCTGGCCTTCCCAAGTCAGGAAGACTCAGGTTCAAATCCTGCCTCTGACATATACTGACTGTACAAGCCTGCGAAGTCATGATCTGTCGATTCCTCAGGCCACGTTCTAAGACTATAACCTGCAGAGAACATTCCTACTTGTACTGATAGAGGGAATTCCTCACTGAGAGGTCTCTGTATCAGTGAAATTACAGGTCCAGCAAAAAACAAAACAAAACAAAGAACCTGCTACTTAGATTAGCATGTCATGCTCATCCAATTTACAAATATGGAAAGCTCTAATATAAAAGAGCTCAAAGTCAATCTGGATTCAAAAAGATGCTGACAGGCTAAAATAGTACAGTCCAATCTAATATGATGATTATTAGAAATGTGTAAAGCCTTCATAACTTCAAAAATAAATCAACTTACAAACACAAGACGGCAGGGGATGGTACGGCAAAGTTGAAATTCATTTGAAGAGGATCTTGGGACTCTTGTGACCTACAGTGCAACATGGTATCCAATAAAGCCAAGATCATCTCAGACATTCAGTCCAAGATTAGTGAGGTTCGATATTCTTGGTTCCAGGCATATTTTAGAGAAGGTTAGAGTACATTCAGGATGATAGCATTGGAGGTCATGCTATAGAGGTTTGCTTAAAAACTGGGGGAGTTTCACCTGGAAAAGACTTAGAGTGGACCTGTTAGCTTCATCTGAAGGGCTGTCATGAGGAAGAGGGATCACACTTGTTCAGCATGGTTGAGGGCGGGGTTAGGGGGCAGAGCAAGGAAGAGAGGGTAGAAGTTACAGAGGTGGAGTTAGATACCCCTTAAAGAATTTAATTGGCCAGAGTAGAATGGGCAGCGTCTAGACAAAGTGGCATCTCCGCCACCAGGAGTCTCCCAGCCAGGATGGACAAACACTTGTCCAGGATTTTGTAAGGAGGTCAAACACCCAGGTAGGCACTGAACTTATTTTCTGAGATATCTTCAAACTCTGAGATTCTTTGATCTATATGTATAACCTTACCACTGGGGTCACTAAGATATGTGTGTAGGATGAATGAAGGAAGGAAGTCTGGAGAAAGTATAGGACATAAAAGTGAAGGAGATTCTCCCCTCTCCCACTCCTGGACTGAAGATTCTCCTCTCTCCCACCCCTGGAGACATACAATACACAAATGTTAGGTCAGTTTGGCTTGGAATGTGATTCAAAGCCTTCGGAGTAATTATTCCAACCAGAGACAAACTTTGGCTGGAGCTTGGGAAGCTCCCAGGAATAATGGGAGTCAGAAGCCAGATCCCAAGAAATCATCTTGCGGTTGTCACTGGCTTAAGAAAAATACTCCCTTCAGGACACAGGCTCACATACCTACAAACTGGACACAGCTGCGTTCACTTTGAGTCTTGAATCACATATTAGGGGTATACACGTACTACCACACACCCACAGTTCAGGGTAGAGGAAGATTCACAAACGTCTTCTGGACAATTTTGCCTCAGCCCTTCCCCACCCCCAAACTCTGAAATCTCAGGATTTGGTTAAAAGGGCCTTCTTGTTTAGCTCATTCCCTTTACATCCACACACACAAGGTAACTCCAGTGATCAGGTTGACAAGACCCATCATTTATGAAACTTCTCTGCGTAAGACTTCATAATTGTAGCCCCCACTCCCCACCCTACCCCCACCCTCTTACATTTTACTCTGTATCTGTTGTTGGTAGTGTGGTTATAATGGGAAAGACAGGGAGCATGGTGTGTGGAAAGATAACATTAGTCCAAGTTTTACTGATGACCCAACCTTTGTGACCCTGGACATGTCACTTCCCTTTCCAAACATCCCCAGGCAACACTCCAGACTACAAGTTGAAGAAGAGTTGCCAGTCTGGATTGTTAGAAGGAGTCCTCAACTAAGAGATCCCTACAGCAATCAAATCACAGATCCAAGTAAAAGTAATTAATAATTAATAACAGGAAAATTACAGGACTCGAGTCAGGAAAAACCTGGATTTGAATCCCACTTAACATGGATATGGCATTTATTTAACTCCTCCCAGCCTTAGTTTCTTCTCTCATCTGCAAAATGGGAGACAGTACCTGTAGTACTCACTCCACAGGGCTGCTATGACAATCAACCGAGTTGAATTCTATAAAGTGCTATATAAATATTGCTATTAACAGAGTTATGTGTCCCCGGGGCCTTGCACACAATAAGTACCTAATAAATGTTTGCTGAATTTTAATTCAGTTGCTGACTCATTCAGGAGTTCAGTCCCATCATGGTGGTAGAATTTCACGTGGGGAATTTCACAGCTCTAATGACAGGAGCTAGCTACCCAGCAAGGCTGAAATTACCAAACAGTCCTCCAGGGGGTGCATATACTCAGCAGTGAGGACACAACAGAGATAGCTTAAATGACCCAGCTGTGCTTGCTCTGATGAATTCTAAAAACTGAACTGAAATCTCCCTTTTCTGGGAAACCAGGGCCCCACAGTTTGGAAAAGGCCATTGATACACTGGGTAGTGTCCAGGAGTCCTCAAGTCCGTATCAGTATGAGAATGAGCTGAAAGAATTAGGAATGTTTCACCTGAAAAGGTCTAAGGAGGCACATGGTTTTAGTTAGATTCAATTATAAGAAGGGCTGAAGAGTGGAAGAGACACAAGCTGCCCAAAGAAAAATTTCATCTTGATGTCAGGAGACACTTCCCAGCAATTAAAGGAATCCAAGAGTGGGATCCTTTGGGGAGACGCCCACATTGGGTCTTCAAGCAGGGACTTGGTGGATTAGAGTAGAGATTCAAAGGATCATGGACCCAAAGCTGGCTGGTAACTTTGGGGTAATCTATTCTAACCCCCTCACCTCACCAAAGAGGAAATAGTCTCAAGGAGATTCAGAAACTTGCCCACAGTATGGATTTAACTCTATGGCCTCAGAGGTCATTTCTAACTATGAAATTCTGGGATTCTGTGAACTTCCCCACTGTGCTCCCTCTGGGGCCAAACAGGTCTACCACTGTTCACAATCCCTTCTTGATCCCTCCCATGGCAGACCCCAGTGGCTGGGGAGGCTGGGGTTGAGGATGAATTCAATTTCATTCAATTCAACAAATATTTATTAAGCACCTACTGTGTGCAAGGCACTGAAAGCATCCCAGGGTCAAGTCTGGCACGGCCACCCCACACCCAAGTTTCTCAGAAGGCTTTAGACAAAACCACCAACTCCCATCTGCTTCTTGTCTAGGCATCTTAGGGCCCATGCATTCATGTGAAACTGTGGCCAGGCCTGGAAACTGAATCCTTTCTCAAAGATAATTCTGGGCCAAGAGAGGGGATCTTAGGCTGTGAAAAAGCTAGAGGGGTCCTAGAAGGAACCACAAAATTTTGGAGTTTTATAGTTCAGCCCCTCTCATTTTACAGGAGGCCCAGAACAGGAATATTACTTGCCCAAGATCACACAACCAGTGGGACAGCTGAACTTAGAACCCAGGTCTTTTAAGTCCCAGCTCTTTCCACTACAGGACAAGAGAGAAGGGCCAAAACAACATTCAGCAAGCACCTAATTTGGGCAAGGGTCAACTGGGGGCTGAAGTCATCTCCTGCTCTCTATGCAAACATCTTTTCTCCCCCAACTCTCACCCTGTACTTCACATGGACATAGGAGTGGGCCACCATCACTGTTTGTTGTTAGATCTCCCCACTATAAACAGCACCGAGGTCCTTTCTGGTCCACCATTCCCCTTGCCTCGGCCAAAAAGAGCAGAGAGATGGAATATGTGACCCTGGACAAGTCACTGTGCTTCCCTGGGCTTCCTCATATGTAAAATGAGGGGGTTGAACCAGACGGCCTTGGAGGTCCCTTCTAGCTAGCCATCCTCGATCCTTTATTTGTTCTTCAGAAGATGCAATTCCCAGGCTCAACCACAAGGTGCTGCCAGTGACTGGACTCTTTTGTGCTTAGGGAGTCATTGGCTTGCTAACACTTGAACAGACACTCGGGGAAGGGGAGGGGACAAGCAGTGACTTCCAAGCCCACCCAACAAGGGACTCACCCCCAGCCCCCAGCAAGGGCAGAAGGCTGAGAGGGAAGGCAGCATGTAGGGACAGCCCCACGTCCATCTCCCCAGTGGGTTTCCCAATCCTAGGGTCTTGGGGATGGGCATGGGGGGTTGGGGGGATGAAGCCTGGAAGCCAAGACCAGGGTTGGGTTGGCACTGCCTGGGCTTCCTCACCCTCCTTCAGAGACAGCCCAGCCACAGGTTAGGCTTTTATTGCATTTCAGTTTCCGGAACAATGGTTTGCCTCAAAAAGTCCAATAATTTAAAGGTGACGATGACAAAAGACTGAGGTGGGGGTAGGATGGAGGGTTGGATGGGAGAGAGTGGAGGAGGAGTGAAAAGTGAACTTAAAAAAAAAATCAACCAAACCAAAAGAAAACAAAAGCACACCCCAAAAGCAGGCTGCCAGATTGGGCTGAGTCCCTCGGGCAGAGAGGGGAGGGACAGGCTGGGGCCACTGGAAGCAGGACAGGCTTCCTGCCCCCTGGCTGCAGAAACAGTTTCAGAGGAAGGAGAGATAGAGACAGAGGGAAACAAAGGCAGAAGCTGAGAAAGAGACAAGAAACAGAGAAAGAGAAACTGTCAGAGATCAGAACATTGGGGAAGAGAAAGAGAAGAAGGAAGAGAAGAAAAGACAGAAGGAAAACAACTGGGAAAGAGTGAAGAACAGAGAAGGCCAAAGGTTGGAAGAAGGCTAAGGAGGAGGACACAGGAGAGAGGGAGAGAGAGAGGGAGGGAGGAAGGGAGAGGGGAGAGGGGGAGAGAGAGAGAGAGAGAGAGAAAGAGAGAAGAAGAAAGAGAGAACGGAAGAGGTTATAGAGAAGATATGGGAGAGGTCAGAAGCCAAAGATTAGAGAAGAGACAGAGAAAGAGAGGCCAAGCAAGAAAGGAGACAAGAGAATGCTTCATTGGGGAGGAACAAAAAATCTGTCAGTGTCTCTTTTATCCAAATCTTCAGCCATTGAACCATCCAAGCCTGCATGTGAGGGGCAGGCTGTGTGTGTGTGTGTGTGTGTGTGTGTGTGTGTGTGTGTGTGTGTGTGTGTGTGTGTGTGTGTGTGTGTGTGTGTGTGAGAGAGAGAGAGAGAGAGAGAGAGAGAGAGAGAGAGAGTGTCGGTCTGTGGGGGCAGGTGTGTGTGTGCTTGGCGAGAGGCTGACGAGGTTACATGATACAGCATTTATTCTTGTGGTTGTGTGGGTCTTTGAATCGGAGTCTCTGCTTTGGCCGGTACTTTTCCAGGTACGTGAGTTGTTTGCTGTTGATGGCACCCCTTCGCTTCCTGGGGGGAGAAAGGGAAAGGAGAGGAGGGAGGTCAGCTGGAGAAGGACAAGACGGATGGACGGACAGGGACCCAGCGGGCCAACCAGAAAAACTAACCAGCATGGTCTTCATTCCCGCGTTTAACTACATGGCCTTTGAGGCCCAGAGGGGAGGAGGGAGGAGGAAGAGGAGCCTTGGGCCCAGTCCACAAGAGCTTAGGCCCTGGCTTGGAGTGAGGGCTCAAAGAACAGGAGATCACAATAGGACTGTGGCCAGAAGGGAGAGATGTCACAGTGGGCCACAAGGATCAGGGAAAGCTTTCTAGAGGAGGTGCCAGCTAAGCTGTCCTGGTGGGACGGGGTGATTTTGGAGAAGTTCTATCATCCCTCTGGCCTCAGTTTCCTCCCCTGTAAAATAAGGAGCCTGGATTAGATCAGCTGGAGTAGAACAGGTCTAAAGCCTATGATCCAATCCAGGAAGGAGCCTGGCATTGCACAACAATGAGAAGACTAGAGAAGAATCTGCCTGGGGTGGAAGGGAGGGGCTGGAAAGGAGAGGAAGAGAACATTAAATGGGAAGCGTGAGTCTCTGTCCTGCAAAGAGGGCAACGAGGGTGGGAGTGGGAATGGGGTTTTCCAGCTTCATCCACCTGGTCCCAGAGGAGCCACTCAGAGCCTGGATCTGAGGCTGGGCTCAGACCATGACACTACTGAGAGCCTCTGGAACGGGCAAGTAGTCCAGAGCATGCAGTGAGGGGTGCAGGGAGCTGAGAGAGGTCCAGCCCGATACCACAGGCCGTTGAAGCTGTGGACCACTATGCAAAGAGCACTGGGTTTGAAGAGAGAACCTGGGACCAAATCCTTGCTCTGAAACTTAGCACCTGTGTAACTTTGGACTAATTATTCCATCTCTCTGGACCTCAACTGCTTCCTCTGTAAAATGCAAAGGCTGGGCTAGGTGAACTCCAAGGTCTCTCTTTTTTCCCCGCTAAAGTCTCTTAAGAGCCCTAAAATCCCATCTCTTAGACTATGGTCAAACCAGCCCAGGAGCACGGCAGGCAGAGAGGCCACCTATACAGCTCAGATTTCATGCACGTGTATGGACCTCCACACGTTCATGTAGAAATACGCACATCTAGTACATGAGGCAGCACGACAGTATCCTAAAGTAGAAAAAACACTAGACTTGAGGAGAAGGAGCCTGGGAACAAATCCTACATTTATGAGCTGTGGGGTTCTGTGGCTTACAACTACTGCCACGCCTCAACATGAATGGGCACATACATACGTACGTGTACACACGCAGTCAAGAACCAGCACATGTGCATACCTGTATGGACATCTATACAGGGATTCCTGCATGTATGAATGTGTCTGCTGGCACGAATAAGAGGCAGCAGAGCTTAGTAGGCAGCATCTGGACTTGGAATCAGGTCGTGAGACCTGGGCTGAAACCCTGCCTCTGGCACTTACTGGCTGGGGCACTCTCCCTGGGTTAGTCACTTCCCCTCTCTTGAGCACCAGGAAACTCTCAAATTTATCTACTAAATAGCAGATGGGCCACTGTCTGTATCAGAGAAAATCTCAGAACCTTGACAGGATGTGTGTTCATCCCACAGTTACTTACATACAAACACACACACACACACACACACACACACACACACACACACACACACTCCTGCTTCTACAGCACAAGACAGTTTACAAATAGCTTTTACACAACCACCTTGTAAGGGAGGCCATGCAAAATACTATCACCCCATTTTACAGATGGAAAAAGTCTGAGAGATAAAATGACTTGTCCAGAACCATGCAGCTAGTAATTAATGCCGCTGACACCTGAACTCAAGTCTGGACTCTAAAACTAGCACTCCTGCTCCCCCACACTGTCTGTGCAAACATATACAAGCCTAAATGTGTCGATGCTTAAACAAATGCACTGTGAGCAGGCACTTCTAGGCACTCCTGTATGCCACCCCCCCCCACGAATATCCTTTCACACACGCAGACCAACATGCTTACCTATTTCCACATACAGGTAACAGAACTCTCCGTTCCCCTCCCTTACTACGCCAGCTCCTCCTCAGAGGCAGCGCCCTTGCCCTATCTTTACTCTGCCTCTGCCTACCAGCCACCGATTCCCCACATATCTGCCCTGGACCTGGTAACAGGAATCAGTGTTTCTGTCCTAGCATTTCACTGACCCAAAATTTCCAAGATTTAGAGGCAGCCTGAGTGGCACAATAAATTAACAGAGCCCAGGACTTGGGAACCAGGAAAACCTGAATTCAAATCCTGCCTCTGACACTTACTAACTGTGTGACCCCGGTCAAACCACTTAACCTCTCCTGGACTCAGTTTCCTCATCTATAAATGGAATAATAACAGCACCTACTTCCCAGGGTTGTTGTGAGAGCCAAATAACATGTGTAAAGCATCTTACTATAAAAAAAAAGACGGTAGCTATCATCTCCTTCATTATTATTATTATTAATTTCCCTCATCCAGATCTTCCTTCTACTTCCATTATAGCAGCCCATTCTCTAAGAATTTCTGTGGCTAAAGAATTCACTGCCCCAAGGCCAGCCCTATCGTGATAAGCAACTGTACTTGACTAGACTGGTCTTTGAACAGAATACAGAGTCTGTCCCTGGGCCCATGCTGGAAGCCCTCCCAGCTGAGGCTGACCTACCAGAGTCTGGGCTCCATTGGACTGACCTTTGGCTTAGGGTCACCTCTGTCCCACAATGAAGCACTGTGAGTGGATGTTACTGCTGCAAAGGCCTTTGTTTCTATGTACATTTCATCCTTCTTTTATAAATCCCAGAGTTTTTTAAACTTATTGACTTCAATGGATAAAAATGTAGCTTTTTAAAAATTTAACTCAATTATTGTTTGAACTTCTGACCTGACTGCAGAACAGAAATTTTTTCTTTGATTTTTCAATTTTCTTTAGTGTTTTTTAAGGGCCAGATCAAACTTTTCTTGGCATATGGACCATAATTTTTTTAAAATTTATCATTTATTATAAATGTGAATGGGCTGAATTCTCTCCTCCAAAAGAAAAAGTTACAGACTGGATTAAATAACAAACTCTCTGAATGTGGTGATTACAGGAAACATATTTAATGCAAAAGGATTTACTCCATTAAAATTAAGAGGTTGGAATAAAATGTATCAGGCCAATAAAGTAAGTATGAATAATGCAAGATTGGAGGCAAAAGATTTTATTCTTTCCACTTTCAGGATATTACAGGGCATCCTGCTGAATATAGGTCATTTCTCCAAACCCTGACTCTTCCCCAGGAAGCCTTTGGTGACTAACCAGGTCCAGCCTGGCCTCCTCTGTCCCCAACTTCCCCCAGGGCCAGGCCTCAAAGTAAGTGCCAGGCCACCTCACATTTGGTGACAGGCATCCTTGAATCATTCTCCTATCACAGAGTGTTTTGTGTATGACAGAAGCCATCTTCTCCAGGCAGATTAGGAGCTTGGACCCATGGGCTTCCCTAGTACTCAGTGCCTACAGGAACTCTGTTCTTCCTACCTACCCCCACTAGATGAGGCCTGTGGGAGCCAGCCTACCTTCTTGTACAATAAACAAGTCAGCCTCTGGAAGAGTACACACAGGATCCCAGGGGCTAGCCAAGACATCCCAGAGCTGGCCAAGCACAAATCCCAGAGGCTCCTCAGAATCGTGGGGAAAGGGGGAGATCTTTTCATAGGATCCTTTTAGCACCAGGGAGAAGGACCTTTGAGAAGTACTTAGGGAATGGGGTTTAGACATCAGTTAGCCTAAGAGGTCTGCTCTCTCCTGGGAGATGAAAGGGAAAAATAGCTCCCCAACCCTTCCCTCTGGCCATAAGGATTTCTCCATCAAGCCCCAGTCCCAAGTTACAGTACAATAATTATACTGAGATTGTTTTAGGGTTCACAAATCTTTCTCCACAACAACCCAGTGAGGGCTATAGGAAGCAAAGTATCATTTTTATTATCTCTACTCTTACAGATCAGCAAACTGATACTCAGACGAGTAAATGACGTGTCCAAAGTCACACAGCTAATCCACGTCAGCTGGGATTTGAATCCAGGCTCTTCTAGCTCTCTCTAGTATTCCCACAGCCTCTAATTGGACCACAGGCTTTAGAGAGGGAAGGAATGATTCAGATTGTCCATTCCAGCTCCCTTTAAGTCCACTTTCCACTCTTCCTCCATTCCCTTTCCTCCAGAGCCTCTAGTTCCATTCAGGGAAGCAAAGTGAACTTGGCCCAGACAGCAAGTAACATCCAGAACAAGATGGGCAATAGTCTTACCCTGGGTGCTTAATAACCAGACTTCATTTGGAGTACCGGACTCAGTTCTGGGCACCAGAGTTTAGAAGGACAGTGATAGAATAACATGGCCAGAAGTGGAAGACCAGAAGAGGGGGAGGGGATGGCTACACAACACCCCTGGATCATCTGAAGGACTTGAGAGTGGTTAATTTGGTAAAGACAATATCAAGGGGGGACATCATAACATAATAACACCAACCCACATTTCCATAGGGCTTCAGTTTTAATACATGCTTGCCTTATAATGATTCTCCTATAAGGGAGATAGTACTATTATTCACCACTCACAAGAAGAGAAGGCTGAGTGAGGCCCAGAGAACAGAAATGATTAGCACATAATCACATGACTAGGAAATGTCAGAACTGGGATGTGAACCCAGGTCTTCTGATACCAAGTCCATCGATTTTTCCACTATACCACAATGCTCCCTCCTCTCATCCTAGGAAAGGCTGTCACAGGGTTAAAGGACCCTTATGGCGTTCCAGAGGGCAGAGTTGGGGCCAAAATGGGGCTGGGAATGGGAGTTCAAGACTCAAAAGCAGCCAGATCTCAGCTCAGGAGACACCTATCAAAGTACTTTCTGTGTACAGAGCTCCGTGGTAGGCCTCAAGGAAATACAGGGTCTAGATAAGAAATAGTCCCTGCCTCCCCTCCAGGAGCTTAGTATCTCTAGAATGGCCAGAACTTTCAAAGTAACCAGAGCAGCTGAATAATGGAATGGGCCACCCATTTAATGAGATAATACCTCTAAGGTATTTACTTCAGTTTCTTCCCTTTCAATCCCCAGGTTAGACCCAGAATCACCAAATTCATGAGTTAGAAGGAATGGGCCTTAGGGGATATTTAATCCCAACTACACACAAACAGGAATTCCCTGGCAGAATCCCTGATAAGCAGTTATCTGGGACTCCACTAAAAGAAATTCAGGGGGTCATACTCACTACTTTCCCAAAGCAGATCACACCACCTATACCACCTTTTTTTTCCCCCCATATCCCCAGTATTTATTAATGACACACAGTTAGGTGCTTAATAAGTGCTTCTGGACTGACTGACTTTGGGACATCTAGAACCTCGAGGAAAGCCTAAACCTATCTCCCAACAACCCCTCTCACACTGCCCCACCCTAATGCTTCTAGTGCTATCAGTAACTCTGGGGCCTCGGTTCCCTCTTCTAGGTAACAATCCTTCAAATGCTTGAAGTAAATTGTCATGTCATTCCACTCAAGTCTTCTGGGTAAACATTCCTTCAGCTGGTCCTCTCATGTCTCCATTCCTCATACCACTGAAACTATTCTAGCAAAGTCTCCCTCTGCATTGCAAAGGGAGAAAAGAGAGTTGAACTAGAGGGACCTCCAAGATTCCTTCCAGCTCCAAGATTCTATGACTCCAATTAATCTTCACTCAGGTGTTTTCACAGGAAAGCTCACCTGGGGTCCCCAAGGATCCCCAGAGCAACTGCTGTTATGTTCCTAAACCAGCCCTGGCAACGCTGTAAATACTCACAATCTCTCCCATTGGCAGAACCCTGGTTAGCTTTCCAAATAAAACACAGCCTCATCTCATCCTTACAAAAGACCTGTGAGGTCAGAACAGCAGGGGTTATGTTCCCTGTATTCCCAGAGTAGGAAGTTAAGGGCCAGAGAGGGAAAAGTGGAATTTCTAATATCACGCAGCAAAACAGCAGTGGAGTCTGAATTACACCAGAATCTGCTTACCAACATGACAGAATCTCTAAGTCAGAAGCTACCTCATATGTCACCTGGTCCAACCCATCCCTGAACAAGAATGCCTTCTAGAACATCCCTAACAAGTGAGAAAGAGAGACTGACAGAGAGAAGGAGAGACAAAGACAGAGAGAAAGAAAGACAGAGAAAGATGATAGAGCTTGATGGTAGAGATAGAGAGATGGAGAGATGGAAAGACAGATGAACAAATAGGCAGACATAGATGACAGAGACTGATGAAAGAGAGACAGATGGATGGATAAATGGATAGTCAGAGAGAGAAACATAGAGAAAGAGAGAGACACAGACACAGAGAGACAGATATTGATGGTAGAGATGAATGGATAGAGAGATAGATGAATAGGTAGGCAGACATAGAGATAAATGACAGAGACAGACAGACAGATGGACAGACGGATAGACAGATGAGAGAAAGAGAGACAGAGAGAGCAAGCAATCTAACAGTATCCAGTAGAAGACTGTCAGTGAGAGGCAACCCACTACCCCTATTTGGCTTCTGGACAGCTAGAAATATTAAAGAGCTTTTTCTTTACATTCAGACAAAATCTTCTTTGCAATTTCCACTCATTACGTCTAGTTCTGTCCTTTTCCTCCTACACATGCCAGCCCTTAAGATGCTTAAAGAGGCCAATGATCCAAGCCTTCTCAAGACTAAACATCTCTGGTTCCTTTAATAAAGCCTCACATGGAATAGTCTACAGCCATAGGAAACATAAAATCTGGAGAGATGGAGACTGGGGAAAGGACCAAATCTCTCATTGAGACTGGTGACCAATTTCCTCCAGGCTAGAGTTAATTTCTGTGGCTATGATAAAGGGTGACAATAACAACCTGTCACTGATTGCTATGGAGGAGCGATGTACCTTTACAATAATAAAATGCTAAAGCCCAGGGAGAGAGAGCCATTTGCCCAAGGTCATACAGCAAAGTCATACTTGAAACCAGGTTTCACAGTGTCCTTGGCTCCTAGCCTGACTTCCTCCTCTCCCTGTCCCCCCACCCTGAAGCTCTATTTCAACTCCTCCCTTCCTACTTCCACTGTGACCCTTCTATAGAATGGAAAACAGAGATTACTACAATGTGCCATGTGATACAGTGAAACTACAAACTAGGAGCCATGGCCACCATGCTCTTGACTTGTCCCTCTGGTCCAAGCTAGCTGTGTGACTTCTGGCAAGTCAATGAATCTTTCTAGGCCTCAGTTTTTTATTGTAGTTGCTGTTTTTAAATTGATGAAATGGAGAGTGGTAACTGTCCATGGATCAAAAAGGCCCCAGTGACCTGCCAGGAATACACAAAGGTCAAACAAGGCAGAGAGACTGGAATTATCTGGGGGGAAAAGTCCTTTCCTCTGGCCAGGCAGTGCTGTAATCTTTTACACTTCATCCCTGGAGCAAAGTCTTCTCCATATTCATTCCCCACAGGACTGCGTGTGTTGGGAGGTGCTAAGGGGGAAGCGGGTTGGAAATTACCTAACTACCTTGTGGACCTGACTCTTATGACAGAAAGGGGGACCCTTCCTCCAACAAAAAAAAAGAAAGAAAGAAAAAACTTTCTGGGCACTTACTGTCGAATGAACTGGATGGCATCTTCATACTTCATCCCACTCTCAATCAGGGCCAGAGCGACAAGGACAGGAGCCCTAGGAGACAGACAGCGGGGTGGGAGTTACTGCCAAAGGTGATAGAGAGCCCTCCGACCCTCTCCCTCCCAACTGAGCCAATCAAACCAAAAGATGATATGTTGTAGTAGACCTAAACTTTGTAGTCAAGAGGTCTCGGTTGTATCCCAATACCAACTCTTACAAATGGTATCACCCTCCACTGTGAGCCTCCGCTTCTCCACCAGCATATGAAGACAATAATTCTTGGACTAACTACCTTACAGAGACATAGTGAAAAAGACCACTTTATAAACAGTAAGGAGTCTACAGTAGTGCATTGTTATTACTCAATACAGCTGAGCATGGAGACAGAGGCATAGCTACTATAGACTCTGGAAGGCCAAGTGTTTGGAGACAGTGGTAGGTGGGCACAAAGATGATTCCTTCCTTTAGATGAAAGAGGAGGGAGTCAGGTCAGATGCCCAGATGAGTTTCCTCACTGCAGGATTTCCCTGGAGACTTTAATAATATAGTTTTTCAGTAAGTAGATTTGCCTCCTCCCCAGCCCTTTACTTTCCTCCCTTGTTTTCTGTTCACATGAATCTGGCTCTAATTATTGAAGAAGCACCTCTGAGCCCACATTCTCTAGTCTTAACTAGAGAATAGTCTGTAACTGCACACCCAGCTTACTCTGATCTCTCCCTTTTCCGAGTACCTACAATCGGGGGCACCTATATCACTCATAGAATCAGAGGATTTCTAAATGAGAAGGGACTCTCTAAATGTCCAACCTCTATCTAAGTAAGAACCTTTTCTGCAGGATCCTTGCTAAATGGAACTCTATCCTCCACTCAAAGCTCTCCAGAGAAAGGAACTCACTACTTCCTAAGGCAGCCAACTCCACTTTGGGGCATGTCTGTTAGGAAAGTCTTGCTTGCCTTGCCCTGAAATCTTCTGCTCCACAACTGTTCTTGGTTGTGCCAACTAGGGCGATGGCAAAACAAATCTAACCCCTCTTCCACATGACAGCTCTTCAGATACAGGAAGGCAGTGATCCTCTGTCCCATAAGTCCCTTCTTCAAATTAAACATCCCTGGTTCCTTCTACTGATCCTCAGATGCTATGCTCTCTACTCCTCCATCGGTCTTGGTTGCCTTCTCTGGACATGTTCCAGCTTATCAATGGCATCAGAAACGTGGCATCAGAAGTAAACACAATATTTCATATGTGGTGTGATCAGGGCAAAGCATGTAGGACAAGGATATCCTCGTTTTGACTGAGACACAGTGTCGTATTTTGTATCGAGACACAATGTCCCAATACAGCCTATGGTTACATTAGGAGGTTTTCATACAGTGCTCTAATATAGTTATCTCTTCTTAGGCCTATGTCTCATCTCCAACACAGTATTGTCAGAACCAGGAGGGAAGGGACTGTGTCTTACACCTCTTGGATTTTTGCCCCACCCTCCCTGGCCCTAGGCCACAGAGCACAGGGCCCAAAACACGATGGGTCCTTGAATCTTTTCTAACTCAACATTCATTTGTTTCCCCCCCTGTCTTTTGCTGAGTGAAAAGATCATCAGATCCCAAGTTGGATCAGAGTTGGAAGGGACCTCAGGTATCTGGTAGTCCAAACCCCTCATTTTAAAGATGACCCAAAGAGACTTAATGGCTTACTGCTAACAAAAGAGAGAGTCGAGATACAAACTGAGGTCATCTGACTCTAAATCCTTTCCAGTATTATACCACCAGACACACCAAAGTGATAAAATGGGAGGAAGAGAGAACAGATTAGATGATAAAAATCTAATTTGAAAAAGATCTGAACTTAGCTCAGTGACTTAAATCTGGGCATGAACTTAGAAAGCATCTGCTCCTTTATTTTACAGATGAGGAAAATTAGGTCTGGAGAGGTTAAGTAACTAATCCAAAGTAAAACAGGTAGTAAGCAAGAGTGATGAGATCTGAAACCATGCCCCCTAACTCCAAAACTCCAGCATGCCTTTCACCACACCACAGTGCCAATGGATAGAACACTGGACTTGGAATCAGGAAGACTCATCTTCATGAGTTCAAATCCAGCCTCAGACACTTTAGCTGTGTTACCCTGGGCCAGTCACTTAACCCCATTTGCCTCAGTTTCCTCATCTGTAAAACAAGCTAGAGAAGGAAATGGCAAACCACTCCAATATCTCTGCCACGAAAACTCCAAATGAAGTCATGAAGAGTCAGACACTACTGAAACAACTGAACAACAAAAAATAATAAACAAAATGAAACTTACTGTGGATGATTGTAATTTTGGTGCCCCTACAATAGGGTGTAAAAAAATTACCTTCACTAGTACAGGATAGGGGAGATGCCACAAAAAGCATTTTGTGAAAGAAAGTCTCACTTATTTAATTAAGGTCTTCAAATGAAGGCTACAAATGAACCCTGGATGGGTTTAGGTAAGGCTCAAACCAGATGGCCTCTGAGGTCTCTTCCATCTCTAAGATTCTGTCATTGTAACTCTAGGTTTTAATGATAACAATTTCAGCATAAATCAACAGTGTGGTGTGGCAGCCAGAAAATACTAATGCAATCTCAGGCTGTATCAACATACCAAAAGTGTAGACACTATGAAGAGTTCTCAATGACAGACAAAGAAATTTTTCTTATTGGTGGAAGTCAATGAAGATCTATTTATTAGGAGAGACTGAAACTCTCCAGTGATGAAGATTCTACCATGTCACTCAATCCACAGTCTGACAACTATCATGGTTTGTTTGGGAAGTGCTTCCTTGTGCCCCTCCTCCCATCTAGCCTAACGCCTCCCAGTGGGGCAGCAGTGGTGTGGGTCCCTAAACACTCTCCCTCTCTGGGGCCCCTCAGACTCACCGCCCCAGGCCAGCCACACAGTGGACAGCAACACAACTGCCAGGGTCTTCAAAAAATTTGGTTTTCAGCAGATTGAGCCAGTCTTCCACGATCTTGCCAGGAGGGGGAGCTCCATCATCAAAAGGCCAGTCCTGGGTGGGCGGGCCAGAGAATAGGCAAGATCAATTCAGAAACTTAAGAGTACCCGGAGAGCCCAAACGTGGAAATAGGAACAACACAGCCACCAGCTGGGCAGCTTCTCTCACACGCTCTCACACACACGCAGAAGTAGGTGCATCTTGTCTTCTGCAGTCAATGGAATTGAAGGGCTTTTGTCCAAGGCTAGAACAGCTAAGCATCTCAGGGTAAGAAGAGCCATCTGCTCTAACTGGCACCTTAGAAGGAATCCCCCTTAGAGCATCAGTAACAAGGAGTCATCTAGCCTTTACCCACAGATACCCAAAGAGAAGGAATTCACAAGAGGTCATTTAAAAAAAAAAAACAACAGACCAGATGTAGGAGGCCCAGGTTTGATGCCATCTCTCATATTAATTAATAGCCATGGGCAAGTCCTTTTAACTCAGTTAAGTCTCTTTTCTTAACTGAAATATTTATACTCTTGAACTCACAGGGTTATTGTGAGCAGAAACACTGGTGAATTTTGTCTAAAAAAGATTTGAGGATTTTGGTGAATTGCAGGCTCAATATAAGTCAACAGAGTGATGTGAGGACTGAAAAAGCTAATGCTTGGGATCCATTAACAGACATGGCTTCTACTCCTCTGCGCACTCCTTTGCAGAAGCAAGAAGTCCACAAGTGTGGAGCACGGCGTATACTTTCAATCCTTTTAGATTTTGTTTTGGTTGGGTGGTTTTACTGACTTTTTTCCTCTTCTTCCTGGCACCCAAGTAATGTAGAAAATAGAGAGTTGGGCCTGGAGTCAAGAAGACCTGAGTTCAAATCAGGTAGAGCCATGATTGCAACCCAAATTGGTTCTCTGGCTCCCATGCACGCACCCAGCTATCATGTCTCCCAAATCTTCTCTTCTCCAGTATATACCTGGAGTTCCTTTAAGGGATACTCATCTGGCTTTGTTTCCTCAATCAATCAATGAACACTTATTAAGCATCTACTACGTGCCAAGCATTGCTCTAAACTCTGAGGATACAAAAAGAGGCAAAAGAAAGTCCCTGCCCTCAAGCAGCTTACAATCTAACAGGAAAGACAAATGCAAACAAATATATACAAAGCAAGCTATACAAAGGGTAAATAGGAAATAATTAACAAAAGGAAAGGCATTAGAATTAAGAAAAGTTGGGAAAGGCTTTCTGTAGAAGGTAGGATTTTAGTTGGGACTTCAAGAAGGCTTCTTGAAGTCTAACTCACATCCATCTTGCTGCAAAACATGGTTACCATCACCTCAAAAAAACTGGAATAATTCAACTTAACAGAGAATTCTCAATTAAAAAAAAAAAAGACATCCTTCTCCTTACAGAGATCCTTGGACCAGACGAACCCTAGTGTACTTTCTAACACTGACATTTCAGTCAACTCAATTCAGTTTAAGAAATTATGTTATTATTAAAAAATATTATGAGCAGGACCTTGTGCTACACTCTGGGGCTACAAAGGAAAAAATGACAGACCTTATGCTCAAAGAGCTGACAGCATAATGCGAAAATACAAAACCTGTATGCAAAAATAAGTTATGGTACAAGTTACATTGTGATGGGGGAAAAGGAAAGGTCCAAGCAAACTGATAACAGAAGAAGGGAGATTATCCCTTTCCCCTGGACCAGCTGGGGCAAGGCTGTCCAGGAAGGCTTCTAAGACGAAGTATTATCTGAGTCACACGCTCTCTGATCTGGAAAGGGCCTCAGAATCCACTGTCTAATCTGTACCTGACCAAAAAAATGTCCTCTATCATATCTGTAAACAAATAGTCATCTAATCTGCTGAAGAGGGGAGACTGCAGCAGTGAGAGGCCTCCTGGTGATGGAGAACTCATAACTTCCACTGCAACCATAACTGCTAGGAAGTTTTGTCATGAAGCCTACATCTCCCATTCTACAATGTCTACCCATCACCATAAGGTTCCACCTTATGGGGCCAAGCAGAATATGTCTAACCCCACTCCATACACATCCTAGTCTTTCATGGGATAGCCCCTCATAAAAATGATAAGAGCTATCATGTCCCCTTTAAGTCTTTTCTCCTACAGATTCAATATCCTCAGCTTATCCAGCTAATCTTCATATCACATGAGCTCCAAGGCCTTCACACACAACCCTAGCCACCACCCCCTGGGTGCTCTCCAGATTCATCAATGTCCTTCCTGAAAGGTGGTCTCCAGAACTGAACACAGTCCTCCCAAGTACCTGACCAAGGCAGAGTATAATGAGACCATCATCTACCTCAGCAATGCAGCCTGAGATCCCAAAGTTTGGGGGCAAGCTATAGCACACTGCTGACTCACACTCATCTCCTACCAGACTCCCTTGGCTCTTTTTCAGAAGAACTTGTTTATGTAGCCACACTCCCCCTCCCCAACTTGCACTTGTGATGCTGACTTTTTTTTTAATCCAAGTGTAAGATTTTAACATTTATCCCTGTTAAAATTCATCTTGTGCCATTTGGCCCAATGTTCCAGCATGTAAGAGATTTTTTTTGGCTCTAAATTCCTTCAGGGAGAGTAGTAGCTACCGCTCCTAGCTTTGTATCACCTGCAGATCTGTTAAACTGGCAGACTTGAACCAAGTCAAGGAAAAGTCAGTGGCACTGGCCATCGTGATGCTTGCTGATTGGCTGGGAATGAGAATAGGATTGTAGAAATGACCAATGAGCCGGTAAGCCTCCAGTGAGCGAATCTCATATTATTAAGCTTGGTGTTTTTGTCCTTCACCACTCTAAGGGCAATGTGGAAGGAAGTGCTCTAGGAGAGAGAGAATCAAGACCTCACCACCTAGCTGCCTCTAACAATAAAGAATAACAATAATAATAGCAGCTAACATTTATTAAGCACCTACTACTTGCCAGGCATTATGCTAAACTGGGGATATGAAAAGAGGCAAATGATAGCTCCTGCCCTCAAGGAGTTCAAAATCTAACAGGGGGAGGCCACATCCCAATAAATATATACAAACAAACTACATAAAGGATAAATAGGAAATAATTAACAGAGAGGAAGCTCTAGAATTAAGAGGGTTTGGGAAAGGCTTCCTATAGAAGATGGTATTTTAGTTGGCACTTGAAAGAAGCCAGTAGGGGGAGATGAGGAAGGAGAGCAATCTAGAGAAAATGCCCAGAGCTGAGAGATGAAGTGCACAGGAGTCAGTCTAGTCGGGTCTCACTTCCAGCTTGGCCAATGAAATGCTGAGGGGACAGGCTGAGGCGACAGACTCCGTGGCAGATTATCCTGCTCTCCCTGGGAGGGAAACAGTCACCCTCTTATCAGGGACCAGAAGAAGGACCCAGGAACAGAAAACACTTTCCTGTTCTTGTTGATGCAGCTTCAGCACGCTTGTTTGAGACTCTGGGGAGCTAAGGCCTGAGTACCTCCCCATCCTCCTCCTCCCTAGGGTAGGGAAAGCCAAGGAAACAGCTCCCAGAGACAGCCCAGGGGATATCCAGGACTAACTTCGACCAAAGCCTAATTCAGCTGACTGCAGGCTGCCCGAGCCCCACAGAAACAAAGCTCTGGTTATCTCTAACCTATCTGTACTTCAGGGTCCCTCCCTATCCAATCTCTTCCAGGAAGCCTTCCTGGACCAGTCTTCCCTTATCTTTTCCTTGAATCCCTCTAACCCTCACCATTTAAACCACGCAACAGAAATAAACAACAGGCATCCAGCAGTCTACACCCATTTGCCAAAATGTTTTCACAATATCTCTGTGTAATCAGCAGGGCAAGGAAAATTACCCCATTTTACAGATAGGAAACTAAGGTTCCAAGTCTTAACCAGAACTCAGGTCTGTTGATAAGCATTCCATGCATCATGCTGCCTCTTACGCCCACACACAAATAAGAAACACAAATTTACTAGCAACACACTCACAGGTACAAAATTCACACACAAGAATGAAACAGGTATGCTCATATATATACTTGAATATGAGTACAAATGCACACATACCCCTGAAACACCCACAGGTTTCACCTCAACCTATAGGTGTGCACGCGCGCACACACACATACACACACACACACACACACACACACACACACACACACACACCACACGGGGTGAGTCTGTATACAATACTACCTTATACCCCTCCTTCCATCTCTGCTTTGCCCTAAAGTTCCTGCTAACCTGCTACAGTTGAGTCAGTCAACAAATAATCATTAAGGGCCAGGCATTGCATGCTTGGCACTGTACGAAAGGATGAGGATACCAAAAGAGGTAAAAGACAGTCTCTTCCCCAAAAGAGCTCACAGTCTAACAGGGGAGAAAACAAGCAAATAAACATATATCTAAAAGTTACACATAGGATAAAGTGGACATAATCAATAGAGGCAAGACACTAAAATTAAGAGGCTTCCCACAGAAGATGGTATTTTATCTGTAACTTAAAGGAAGCTGTGGGGGAAGGGGTCAGTAATCAGAGGGAAGGAGGGAAAAGGGTCCAGGCATGGGGGACAGCCAAAGAAAACGCCCAAGAGCCAAGAGATGGAGTGCCATGTTCTTGGAAGAGCCAGGAAGCCAGGGTCACTGGACCAAAGAGTACATGGTAAGATATAACTCTGCATGCCTGGAAAGGTAGGAGGGGGCTAGGCTATGAAGGGCTCTGAATGCTAAAAAGAGCATTTGGTATTTGATCCTAGCACAGATAGGAAGCTAAGCAATTTTACTGAGTAGGAAGGTGCCAAGCTCGGAACCAAACTCCAAATGGTTTGCAGCAGCTGCCTCTTCCCACCCCTCAGCCCAGTGGAGAGAGCCCTGGGGGTGAGGACAAGTTCAGCAGATGTCTTGCTGTACCACTGTGGACAGGTCACTCTCTGTTCCCTAGCCCTCTAAAATCAGGGAGCTAGATTAAATTATCTCTAGGATCCCTCTCAACTCTACCTTTCTGTGTTCTAAAGTCCCTGCAGCTCGACATTCCAAGTTCTAAGAGATGCCAAATTCTCTGCCCCCACTCCCAAGCCCACCCATCCTATACTCAGTCTCCCTACCCCCCAAGGATCGCAGAAATGGCTAAAGTCCAGGGGCCCTTGCTCACCATGACAGTGATACCATCCTTCTCCAAAGGGGTCTTGTCATAGGTCACCTCACATACCCGAACCACAGTGGTGGCCCCATACTTCTTTAGATCCTGCAAGAGGAGAAGAAGAAAGTCACTGAACAGAGGGGACAGAAAAATCTAGCTCCCAGACTTCAGTCCCAGGCAATCTTCCAGCCCCATCCCTTTTCAAAGAGACAGCCACAGGGAGCTAATTCCAACAGAGGGACTTAGCTTCCACTTAGCCTGAAGTTTCCCTGAAAAATAGGGGAGAAATAACAGTGATAATAACAACAAATAATACCTACCAGATTACAGCACTTTACTCACAAAATCCCTCATGCGGTGAGGTGAAAGGTATGCCAACTACATGGCACAGTGGACAGAGCGCTGGGCCTGAAGTCTGGGAGACTCCTCTTCCTGAGTTCAAATCCAGCCTCAGATACTTATTAGCTAGATGACCCCAGGCAAGTCACTTAACCCTGTTTGCCTCAGCTTCCTCATCAGTAAAATAAGCTGGAGAACAAAATGGCAAACCACTCCAGTAACTTTGCCAAGAAAACCCCAAACAGGGTCAGGAAGAGTCGGACACAACTGAAAAACAAACAACTCCCATTATGTTATCATTATCTCATTTAATCCTCGGAATGACTATGCTGTCACTGCTATTCTCATACCCGTTTTACAGGAAACTGAGGCTGACAGAGGGTGACTTTTGCCCAAAGTCACACAGCTCAATAAATGTCTGAGGCAGGACCCAAACTCAGGTCTTCCTGACTCCACTTCCTCTATCTGCTGTACCATGCAGCTGCCTCTAAGAAGATAATAAATAATCCCAGACTCTGACCCAGGATTCCTGGGAAGCTCTAGTGCCTGAGAGGTCTGCCCCCGGAGCCCTAATAGTGAAGGATGCCACTACGCCTGAGGAAATCTCTTCTCAAATCTATGCCTGCTCACTCTTGATATTAATAATAACCTCAAACTCTGAAAACTAGCCAACTCCTGAGGCTGAGCCCCAGAGCCCCCGGGCTACACTCAGTGTGAGTCCTGCCCCTGGTCACAGCTCAAGCTGGAATCTCCCAGCCCCTTCAAAACAGAGGGCCAGAGGGCCACCCAAGACCTGGGCAAAGCGTTCTAGATGGCTCAGGGCAGCCCCTCTCTGTTGCTATGCAACCAGGGCATCTGAGTCTAGGCTGTGCAGAAAAACGCAGATAATTCTGTCCTTGAAGACTCTCAGGTAGAATAGAGATACTTAAGACATGGGCCTCTCAGGCGCTATTGAGAAAGGCAGAGAATTTTCTGAAAGATAAAGATTCTCCCCAGGGAAGTGCCTTTCCTCCTGTCCCTCCCCTCCTCAGGGCCCCCAGACATGGGAGGCCCGAGAGCTGCTCGGGTAGAAAACCTGGCAGCAGGCGCTGCTGGCACTGGGCTGAGCCAGCCCCCGTGGCCCTCTGCCCAGGGCCTCAGGATTAGACACTCTGATATATGCACAGATTCCTAGAGCATGAAGGGACCTCAGATACCGTTTAGTCTAAGCACCAAATTTTATAGATCAGATGACTGAAAACCTAGACAGAAGAGGTGACTAATCCAAGGTCATCTAGCACATCAGTGGCAGACTCTAGATTAAAATTCCCAAATGCCAGACCAAGGTTCTTAACATTCCCCAACACTGCACCCGGGGCCTTCCTCTTCAGCCATCATCTCTATCTCCCTCCTGGGGCCCCAGGCTTTTACTGCCCTTCCCAGGCAGACATGGGGGCCCCAGACCCAGGGGAGGACGCTGTGCTCAGCCCTATCTTTTGTTCCCCCCTCAACCCTGCCAAGGACAAGCCTGGCTGCTGGGAACACTGTGTGATCACTGCCTGGTGCAGAGACAGGAGCAGCGGGAATGAGGGAAGCTGACAATGAACTTGAGAAGATGTGGAAGGATTTGTGGGGGAGGGGAAGGGAAAGGGCAAGTGGATGGGAGGATTAAGAGCTGGGAGGAACTTAAGAGACAGGACAAGACTAAGCCCCTGGTCCTACAAATAAAAGAAAGCAAAGGGCTTCAGGAGCAGGTGTGTCAGAGGCAGCACTTGAACTCAGCTCCTTCTGGGGCTTTGAGACCAGCTCTTTACCTACAGATGCCCTGCCTCCATACTACCACACAATGCTCTTTAAATAACAGTTCTCATTTCTATAGCCGTTATTCAAGGTTTCCAAAGCTCTTTCTTCACAGCAACCCCACTGATACACAGCGTATGATTATCTCCATTTTACAGGTAAGGACGGTAAGGCTCAGGGAATTCAAGTAAGGTGCTCTGAATTACAAAGCCAACACTTTCTTTTCCCTGATGTTTTTGCTTAGCACAGATATAAAGTGCTTGGCACAGTGTCAAGCACATAGAAAGCGCTACACATTTCCTGCCTCCCTCCCTCTTCCCTTCCTTTTTTCCTCTCTCCCTCCTTCCTTTCCTTTCTCTTTCTCTCCTTCCCTTGCTTCCTTCCTCCCTCCTTCCTTCCCTCTCTCCCTTCTTTCTTTTCTTTTCTCCCTCTCCCTCTCTACCTCTTCTCTTCCTCCCTCCTTCCCGACTTTCCTCCCTCCCTCCCATCCCTTTCCTTGTCTTCCTTCTCTCCTTTCATTCCTTCTTCTCTCCTTTCCTTCTTCTTCCCTTCCTCCCTCCTCTACCTTTTTTTTCCTTTCTCCTTCCCTCATTCCCTCCTTACTTCCTCCCTCCCTTTCTTTCTCCTTCCTTCCCTCCATTCCCTTCTTTTTCCCTCCCTCCTTGCTTCATTCTTCCCTCTCTCCCTTTCTTCCTAAATATCCCATAGTCCTATCTGTCCATGCCTCTTTCACAATCATCCTTCAATCCCAAAGCCTCATTAAGGCAGATGGGATACTATACAGTCTCAGACAGAGAGATGACTCAGTCTCGGCTCTCACTAACCTTCAGTGGGACCTTGCACCCACACCTCCTGGAGGTGGCAGGGTACTTCTTGAAGCTGGCGGGTCCTGGTCAGGACTGACCCTATCCCTCTCCAGGGACAACCTGCCCCCACCACCTGACACATATCCAGCAGGAAACTGTTTAGAGCCCCATTTCCCTATCCTTGAAGGGCCAGAGCAGCCATCTGAGTCAAATCTACCACACCCCCTGCACAAACTGCTCACAACAACCAGTTAGGTGGCGCAGTGGATAAGAGTGCTGGGCCTAGAATCAGAAAGACTTGAGTTCAACTCCAGACTCATGACACTTCCTAGCTGTGTGACCCTGGACAAGTCACTTAACTTCTCTTTGCCTCATGTTCCTCAATTGTAAAATTGGGATAATCATAGCATTTACCTGCCAGGGTGCTTGTGAGGATCAAAAGGTAATATCTGTAACACGCCTAGCATAGTGCCTAGCACCCAGTAGGCATTCAAATAAACAAACGCTTGTTCCCTTCCTTCTTTCCTACAACAATACTAACCCAATAAATTAGGGAATACAAGTGACTCTACTTTGCAGATGAGGAAAGTGAGCTCAGAGAGAGGAAGTCATTTGCCTAAGGCTAAACAGCTAATAAGTAGCAGAGCCAGAGTAGGACCCTAAGTCTCTGGACTCCAAGTCTAGTATTCTTCCCATTATGTCTTGCTGCCTCTCAAACCAACTACCCCTGGGTATAGAATCCTGGTATTCCAGCAAGAATCCACTCTAGTCCCTTTGGTTCGGGGGGCGCTGGCCAGGAAGGAGACAAGGGGGAGGAGAAGAGGAGAATGAAGAATGGCCTCTCCTGGAATACCTCTAGTTACAGAGAGCTCACTACCTATCCACTATTGGAACGCTCTGATTCTTAAAAAACTTTTCTTCATATTGAAACATTCATCCCTATAAATTCTACTCCCTGGAGTACTATGTCTGTTCTTCATGCAAGATTCTGACAAAACCAACAGAACTCATGTCTGAGGTACGTTTCCAGGTATAGGAATGAGCCACATTCTCTTTCTCATCAAAGCCCTAGGTAGCCTTGACTTGGAAGATATCTGAGGAGTTGGGGCTCAGTCTCCAGCCAGGTTTAGGGTTCAGACTTTAGACAGAGGTTAGGGCTCTGCCTGAGACCAGATTACAGCTCAATCAGTTAGTGAGATTAAGGCTGTGTCAAGGGCATTTCCCCTCCGAGGATCCCCATTAGCCCAGAGTCAGCCCCACCCCAGCCCCACCCTCTAATCTAGGTTTGCCCCAGGTGGTGCCTTTGCTATCTTCTCTGGCCAAAGATAAGGAAAGGCCAGATTCTTTTCCTAGACCTCTGGAAACAGTCCTCATGTGTTGGGAAGGGGCTGTAATGACAGCACATGGCCCACTCAGAGGAAATACCCCCCTTACTCACCCCCAAGAATAAAAATAGCCAGATGCCCTAGCGAAATGCCATAGGCTATTTTGAGGGCCATGGGGCTTTCCCCAAAGGAATGCAGGGGCCTCAGCTCAAGAACAGGGACAGCAGTTAGGGGAAAAAAGCATCCACTTCCCCTTCTTCCCAAAGCAAGGTCTGAAATGCAACACTGGTGGAAAGGAGAAATCCCGGGGCTCGGGAAATCAGAAGACCTAGGTTCTAATTCTGTCTCTGCAGCTCCAATGATGGGCAACCTTGAGCAAAGTACTCCCTCTCTCTGGGGGTCAGCTTCCCCTTCTAATTAATGAAATTAGAGTAAATCATCTCTGAGATGCAACAGAGGATAGGTTGGGGGAGCAGTAAACTTTTGGGCTTGCAGTTCACTTGGTGACCAAGTTTTAGGCTCAAGTCTTGGGGGAGGGAGGGTTAGACTTGTGTCTGGGGTGAGGGCTCTATCTCTGGCACCAAGGAAACAAAGCTCACTCACCAGGCCATCCGGGATCAAGTCTGTGACCTTGGCCTCTTCAGTACCAAGTTCTAAGCAGAGACCACAATCTTTCATATGACTTGGCCAGAAGCCAGAGGAGCTGTCTCAGGCTGGTGCCTCAGGGCAGGAGTGCCCACACCCAGTCTGAATACTTCCCCAGAGATGAAATTCAAAGGACTGGGAGCTAGAAGGCTTGGTTTCTAATGTTCTGTAACTGAAAGCCCCTCGATCTCCAGGGCACATCTGCCAGGTAAATATCTTACAGTTGACTCACCTGCGTCCTCAGTCTCTCTCTTTAAAACAGATCTCCTGAGAATCCCGTCTCCTTCCAACAGGGAATCTCAGAGTAGAAAAACAGCTCACAACCTGAAGAGTCATCTGGCCCAACTCAAACCTGAAGAGTCATCACCTCCATATATCCCAGACTCCACCTGAATATCTCCAGTGATGGAGAACTCACTACCACCAAGAGAGACCTTACCACATCTGCACAATTCTAACTGTTGACATCTTTTTTTCCCCCTCTTTATGTTGAGCTGATATTTGCCTCTGAAGCCAAGCAGAACAAGGGGGAAGGGAATAAGCATTTAATTCCTACTACGTGCCAGGCGCTTTACAAACATTATCTCACTTGATTTTCACAACAACCTATTTTACAGTACTGAGGCAAATACAGCTTAAGTGACTTGTCCAGGATCACAGAGCTAGTGTCGAAGACTGGTTTTGAACTTGGGTCTTCCCAACTCCAAGCCCAGTACTCTATACCATGTGCTACCCAGCTGCCTCAAACCTAATCATTCAACCACAGGGCAACCCTTCAAATATCTGAACAATTGCCCTCCCAAATCCTCTATCCACACAGTTGATTTTTTTAATCCAAAAGAAAGACTTTGCATTTAAACCGATTACATTTTACTTTACTAGATTTAGACCATGGTTCTATAACCCAATGGGATCTCCTCCAATCCTGACAGAGTATCCCAATTTAGCTCTCCTTCCTAGTTTCATGCTATTTGCAAATGAAGGATGAGAGGGACAGGGAGGGCTCTGTGTAATCCTATGTGGTTCTTCTCATCTCCTTTTTCCATACCTCTTTTTTCAATAGGCAGGAAACCTGACAAGGATGGCACTGATAGTAACGAGGACCAGGGCCACAGCTCGGTTCCCAGCACAGACCCTAGGCTAGATGGCAAGGAGCATGGACTGCAGACCAGAGTCCCCAAGCGGAGTTTAGCCTGGTGAATCGGTCACCAGGAAGTGGAAGAGGGCTATCTAAGGAACTAACATGACAAGTTTTCCAAGAGAAAGCAGCATCAAAAGCTGTAAATTCTACGGACAATGAGAGATTCCATTCGGTTTGCCTGTTAAAGGCAGGTTCCACAAACACAGCTGAGCCTTGCAAACAGAGCCATGTCAGGAAACAGATCATAGGACTTGGAGCAGCAAGGGTCTTTAGAAGATCACAGATGCAGAGCTGGGAGGGGACCTCAAAGGTCAGTTAGTCCAACTGCCTTACTTTAAGTAAGGCAATTAAAAAGGAGGGGGAGGGGAAAATCATTTGCCTATGAACATAGACTAAGTAGCATAGCCAGAATTTGAACCCAAGTTTTCTGACTACTCTTCCCAAAAGTTGGTGGCAGTTGGTGGGTCTTCAAACCTCCACCGGATTCTGCCAATGGGAAAACATAGCAGAATGTTGGACAAAGCACCAGGCACTGTCAAGAGCCAAGGGATTCTGCAAACATCACCAATCTCTGCAAAGAGCAGTTACAGACACCAGCTGAAGACACTGTGTCCTGGGTGGAGGGAAAAAAACATGTGGGGCTCCTTTTCAGTCACATAACCCACATGGCCAGCATAACCCTTTAGGGACATTTGTCCACAGTAGTATGCCAAGTCAGTGACAAGAGTTGGGACTCAAAGCCAGGTCTCCCTATTGCAGCAGCACAGCTCTTTCCTCTGGGCCACAGAGACGTGAGCAATTCGCGCTCCACACTTCAAGGCCCTGTGATTTCACTGGTGTGATGGTAGAGCTGGCACCAGCAGAAATCATAGCTCCCTGATATGGTAGGACACAGTTCTGGTTTCCTCAGCCAAGATAAGCATCACCTGGTGGCCAAGTGTCTCATAAAAGACCTCTCCAAACTTAGCCTTTCCAGCCTGACAGGAGCTGCAAAGACCCAGGGTTACCTCCATGTCACAATGAGATGTCAAGAAAGGACTTGTGGGGAGGTAAAGAATTATTATCACCAAAACCCCCAGAATCCCACCATAAGAGGCCTTGGCAATCACCTCACCCACCCTCTTCATTTTATGGATGAGCAAACTTGAGAGGTGAAGTGTTTTGCCCTAAGGACACACAGAATTTAAAACGGTAGAGCTCATATTTGAACCAAGGATTCTAGATGTTCATCCTCACCCCACCGCCCCCATGTGTCCTGGCCCACCAGAGGGATTTACCTCAATGAAGGTGTTCAAGGTGGCATTGGTAGGGTTGTGAGTGATGAGGAACCGCATGTTCTTGTAGCAGACCTCGACAGGGGCTGGCCGGTTCATCCGAGCCATGGTGTGGCCTCTTGTGGCAGCAGGAAGGTAAGAAAGGGGCCCAGGAGGGGAAGACTAGAGGAGGGATCAGGGATGGGGAGGTACAAAGGGACCAGGGCGCCCGTCAGATCCCTACCTCCACCAAAAGAAAAAAATTAAAATAAAATAAAACACCCAATGAGAGAAATAGAGCCCTGTGCTTTTTGAGGGTGGGGGCAAAAAAAGAGTTAAAAAGCAACACCCCTCAAAACCAACACAAATGTTGTGCAAATGTTATCGGCTTCTGGAAACGTGTTAAGGTTGTCACAAGGGTTCTAGTCTGTTAAAAAGAAAAACAAAAGCAAAAAAAATCACCAAAAAGCCTGACTCTTAAAAAAAAATGCACCCCCTTCCCCCACCCCCAAAAAGCCCTTCTATACACGTAACAACCAGGCCAAGACTCCAGAACTTGAAGCCAAATACTTATATGGGATAGGATAGGGAGGGGAGGGCCCCAAGGACAAAGACCATAGATCTGCTGTTCTGTGAGCCCCCGTTTAGGCAGTGGGACGCAGCTGTACACAGCCGGGCCCAGCCAGCAGCAGGCAAACGCTAAAGGAGCCTCCTTTCTTTCAGCCTTCCCTCTCCCACTCTTGGGGTGGGCAATCAAAAGAAGCAGAGGGATCTAAGTTTAAAAAAAAACAAACAAAAAAAACCTCCCCAAAAAAATCCCAAGGAACAGAAGCGACGTAAAACTGAACTCGACTGGGGAGAGAAGGCCTCTGTAGATACTGAAAAGTTCGGGGCAGTGACGGGGTCCTGGGTCACGTTACCCCATCGGGGTACGGGGAGTCCTTGGGAGCAGCAGGGGGCTCAGGCAGCAGGGACAGCCACGGGCGGACGCCGGGCGTTGGGAGCCATTCGCAGGAGCCTTGAATGGTGACAGCTGGGGGCGGGCGCCTCCTCACCGGCGGGCGCGATGTTGCGCGTGGCAGTATTCAAAACTGCTCCCCACAGGCGTCTCCATAAATCCCGGGCTGTTCAAAGGCCAGCAACTTCTGGGCAGAGAGGGAAAAATAATTTTTTTTAATCCGTTATTCTGACTCAACCCTGCCATCACTCCTACTATGAGATAACTAACCCATGTAGCTGACCACGTAGGCTCCGAGCTGTGTTTACTGCAGCAAGGATGGTGGGGCACTGAACTCTCTCACTCTCTGGCCAGGGAGTCTTCTAATGCCCTTGAATATGGCACTTCAAGATAGCTGCTAGGATTAGGACTCAGCCAGTGACCAGAGTGGGGCCTCAGCAAACAGTCAACTGACCCACAGAGGGAGCAAACTGGTCACCTTGGCATCAATGCCACCACGTTCGAAGCACTGAGTAACATGGCCAAGATGCACTCATTCAGAGTCTTAGAGTCACAGAAAGTTAGAGAACTAGAGAGCATCTCAGAACGTCAAACCAAGGACATCTGAGCTACGAGAAGCCTCGGAAACAAACAAGGCTGCTGGCTTCAGTTCACAGATGAGAAAATTATTTCCCCAAAGGTCACCCAACCAATCAGAGGCAGAGTCGAATCTCAAACCCAGAGATTTTGATGCCCACACCCACGTGTTCCTCTTACCACACCATGCTGCCTCATTAGACTATTAGATTAAAGAGTCAAGAGAACTGGGTTCTAGTTCCAGACCCCGCTGCTACAAACATGCCATACGTCCCCTTCTGTGATTCAGTTGTTTTCGTCGTGTCCAACTCTTCATGACCCCATTTGGAGTTTTCTTGACAGAGATACCCGAGTCGTTTGCCATTTCCTTCTCCAGCTCATTTTACAGATAAAGAAACTGAGGCAGAGGTAAATGACTTGTCTGGGGTCACACAGCTAGTGTCTGAGGCCAGATTTGCACTCAGGTCCTCCTGACTCCAGGCCTAGCACTCTGTTCACTGTGCCACACAGCTGCCCACATGTCCACTCAGGACCTCAGTTTGTCCACTTGTGAAATAAGGCTAATGAGATACAATGAGAAAGTCCATGACTTTGATTTCAAAGGACCTGGTTTCCAAACCTGACTCTGTTCCTTGTCGCCTGGGTGACCTTGGCAAAGTTCCTTTCCCTTCTCTAGGTCTGTTTCCTTGTCTATAAATGAAGGGGATTGGACCAGATCTCTCCAAGGTCATTTCCAGTTGTAGCTCCTAGGATCCTAGGATTCCTGCTCATCCCACCACCTCCCTCCCTGCCTTACAGGGATCTCTAGTAAAGAGCAAATGAGATCCTGGTGTTTTGGAACATACTGCTGCTGGCAGATGGCTGTCTCTGCTTCATTCTGACTAGGAGCAGTGATATTTCCACCACCATGAGGAAGAAGGTTATGGGGTGACCTATGCCCCGAAGCCACCAGAGCCCAGGAGGGCCCCAGCTGGGGTTTCTTAGCCACACTTTCCGGTATTACAGAGTTGGCTGACCCAGGAAGGTCAGGGTAGAACAGCCAAGAAGGAAGGATATGACGCCGTGGGGCAGCTGTCAGAAACACCTTCCCACATCCCCCAGCCTCCCCAACCAGAAAGATAAGGGGGAGGCTACTGCCAGATTCTCCCAGCTCTGGCCTCCTGCCCAACTTAGGGCTCACAAGATCACCAGAGATGGAAGGAATCTTAGTGTCAAAGGTCCCACCCCTACACAGGCACTGGGGAAACTTCCCCCACCTCTTCCCCAGCCAACAGCACATCAGTTGCCCCTTCTGAGCTGAGAAAAGAGAAACAGTAGTTGTGGGCAAGGAGACAGCTGCAGAGACCTAACCACTGTGTGTGCGTGTGTGCCCGCGCGTGTATGTTCTGTGTATGTGCGTTCTACGTGTGCAGGGGAGTGGACAGGAGGTTGTATGTCCATGGGCACGTCAGTTTTGGGTGTCTCCTGGATGTATTTTTGTACACGGGGAAGGAGGAGCACCACATGTATGTGGCTGACTGTACGTGAGAGTGCTTCGGTTTGTTTCTGCGCCTCTATGTGTACACACACGTATGAGTTTGCACATTAGCATATCAGTGTCTATCTGTCTTCCTTTGCTTACATGCACAAGAGAGATAATATGGGTATAAATATCTATATGTGTGTGGTTAGGTGCGTAGCTGTACGTTGAGGGGGGCATCCATGTATGTATCTGTACACGCGTGCCTACACCTACGTAAATGTGGATGTTGGTGTCTATGTTTATAGGTTTATACACATATGAGTGCACGCATATGTAGGTGGGCATATGAGTACACTATGTCTACATAGTTGTTCAGATGCTGTCTCCTCCATTAGACTCTGAGTTCCTTAAGAGCAAGGAATGCGTTGTTTTCTTTGCACCTACCCCTCCTTCCCCCCTCCCTCCATCGCTTTAGCTCAGTTCCTGGCACATAGTACGTGCTTAATAAATGCTTATTGATAGTGAATATGTACAAGTAGGTAACCAACTCAGTGGGAGGGTAAGTGGATTCACACATGTATGTGCATTGATTTGTGACTGAAATGGCAAAAATAGGGGCATACAGAAGAGTGTGTGTGTGTGTGTGTGTGTGTGTGTGTGTGTGTGTGTGTGAGAAAAAGTCAGTCACTCCTGGATAGACCACACATCATTGTGTCAGTCCTGCTGACTCCCCTGATAAAAGAGAGAGAGAGAGAGGCGGCAAAAGGGGAGAGCAAAAGGCAAGGATCCCAGGGCTAAGTGGGCCTTCCTCAGGTGGGACTTCCAGACCCAAGCCCAACTCCTCCAACAATGCCTGAGCATTGGGCCTGAGCAACAGAAACTTGCTTCTCCTCAGGAAAGGGAGGCCAGGTAGGGACCTGGCCCTGATGCCTGGGCACAGGAAAACTATTCCTCTCCAAGCAAGGAGCATGAAAAGAGGGGTCACCAATTGGAGGGAAGAAGCTGGTAAAGGAAAAGAGGCCTTAATTAGAACTCAAAGTCCTAATTCCCAACTCCTTCTGACCCCCTTGGCATCCAAGACACATCAAACATTCATGTAAGCTGCTTTCTGTCCTTTCATCCCCGTTATCTTGCACAGCGCCTGGCACCTAGCAGGTTCTTAATAAATGTTTGTTCTATTGCACTCCTGGGGCAGCTAGGTGGCAGAGAGTACCAGGCCTGGAGTCAGGAAGACCTGAGTTCAAATACCATCTCAGATACTAGCTGTGTGACCCTGGGCAAGTCACTTAACCCTGTTTGCCTCAGTTTCCTAATCTGTAAAATGAGCTGGAGAAGGAAATGGTTTACCATTTCCAGTATTTTTGCCAAGAAAACCCCAAATGGAGTCACAATGAGCCAGATACAACTGAAACAATTGAACAATAACAAAAACAACAAAGTACACTCCTAGAATCATATGAAACAATATGGGATGGAAAAAAACATATGACTGGGAACCTAGGAAACCTGGGTTCAAGTACCTTCTTTACTAATGATTCTATATGACACTGGGGACATCCCCTCTTGGGGTCTCAATTTATTTCTCTATAAAAGAAGAGGCCTGAACTAGCCAAATGAATAAGTGAATGAAAAAGTATTTATTTAATGCTTACAATGTGCCAAGTACTGTGCTGCATGCCAGGGATATAAATACAAAAGCAAGGAAACTGCCTTCAAGGAAACTACATTCCAACGTCAGAAGCACATAGAGATAATAATAATAACAGCTGACACACACAGACCTCTTTAAGGTCTGCAAAGCACTTTAGATAGGTTATCTAATTAGAGCCTCACACCAACCCTGTAAGGTAGGTTACCAATGAAAAACTGAGGCTCAGAGAAGTTACACGACTTGCCCAGCTAGAGAATGTCTGAGGAAGAACTCAGCGTGCTTTCCTGCTTCGAAGTCCAGAGCCATGGCAAGTCACGGCCAAGGAGGGACTCTATGGTCCAAAAAGTTACTGGGAGGATTACTGGTCTAAAGGAAGAGAAGACTGCCCCGTCCCATCCAAGAACAATGGCAGATTTGATATGATCATGGTCCATGATTCCAGAACTGGAGAGCTAGGGGAGGTGAAGAAAAAGGTATAAATGAGGAAGTAAGGTAAAGGAGTAAAAGGCTAAAAAGGAGAGTGAAATGAAGTATGACTGGGGCTTTTCTGAAACACTAAGTGGGACAGTAAGCAGCAACAATTAGGAGAGGGGGAGCCCCTAGGGTGGAAGTTCCTCCAGGGCACACATCTCTGCCTACTCTGACAGTCTGTGACTATCTACCGTCTCCAATCTCTCTCCACTGACCACAGAACATCAGAGCTTACAGAGCCACAGCTCTTCACTTTACACGAGAAACCAAGGCCTGGAAGAGGTCAAATGGCTGGCCTACAGTCACTGATCGGTAAACAGCAGTGTCTGAACCCAGATCTTCACACTCTAAAGTTCAGAGCTCTTTCCACTACTCCACACTCCCCATGAGCCACTTTTAAGAGCAGTGTTTCCAAGTTCTCAACCTGGGGTCGGTAGACTCCAAAGAGTTACAAGAAACTTGTCAAGGGAATAAGGGGATTATCTGGCAAGTAACTATATTATCCTATTGAAATAATCCACAAACTCCAAACTGATCTCAATCAGTGAAGTTACAAAATTTTGTGTGTACTCTTGGAAGAAAACCTAATTAATCTCTTTATTTCTTTCTTACACATAGTAAGCTCTAAAAACAATCTTTTTTCATGCTAAAGAAGGTGTATGGAAAGATTTGCTGAAAAACCAGTGAGTACAGGAGCTGAAAATGGTTTGGGAAGCCCTGCCTTGGAATAACAGAACTTTAGAACTACAGCCCAGAGACAGGAATAATAGCCCTAAAGTCACATTGCGAGGCCACAGCAAAACAGCTGGGATCAGTGACTCCCCAGAGCCCCTGCCACCCAAGCCAGAAAGCTCTTTCCACTAAACCAGGCGGCCTCTCAGTAACAGCATGATCCACAGGGGCAGCTAATTCTCAGACCTCTCCCCACCTGGGGTTGGGGCAAAAGGGAGGAAAGGCAGGGAAGTAGAAAGGGCGGGATGTTTGGGAAAAGCAACTAGTACTGGCAAACCTACTTCTAGTAGTCAAG